AGGGGATCCTAAACGTCCTTGAGAATTCTGTGATTTCCGTCCTGTTTAATTCTCTCGGCTACACCGTTTACACGCGCGCGGTATCGGAATACATTTCACGGATTACATTTCTGATTTAAGGGATATCACCTGGTCTTTTCGCGGAATATGACGTTTCTCAGATTGCGCACGGCATAAAGTATCATTAAAGAATCATATACGTGAGATATCATCGATTCGACGTCCTTACGATCCGCGTACGCGCATAACGGCTAACTAGAGGGACTTTGACAGACGGTATTCCAAAGAAAACACATAATCCCGGCCGCGATATCGGCGTAGAAACTGAGCTCGCCTTAAATTAAGAGACTCGCTTTTACGGCTGTCGCCGTTCCTTAAGTGCTATAAGGCGTGTGTGCGTAATGATGTCCCATCGAATATCTTTGAATCTATTTTACGAGCAGCTCTCGCAGTCTCCACGCTTATATTACCGGTTTATTAGACTACGACGCATGGAAATGTTTAAATTCTTTTTATTCTATATCGAATATATTTTTCCTTTCCTCTCTTTCACTCTATAAATTTCTATGTATTTTTTCCTGTAAAGAGTGAAAGTTTATATATACATATATATATATCAATCTCTTCTTGCTATACAGTCTTCTTAAAGATAAATATTATATCGTAAATATTATATCCGTTGTCCATCAAGAAATAGTAAAGAAACAATCTCTCTCGATGTCAGATGTGTGTATCTGACAAGCATTCTGCAGTTCTTTCGTGCTCTCTAAACTTTTCACGCCGGCAAAAGTAGAATGTTTCAAGGACGTTCTTCTTCTTGCGTCTTCGACAATCACGCGAAGAAAGAAAATAAAGGCACAAAGAGCCGTTGGAAAGGCAATGGTAAATATTTCGCCATCTTCGCTGGGACTTATCGGTCATAAAATGGTACTTGGGAGGGACTCGAGGGAACGGTGCCATGTCGCGGTGCAACCGGGCACTCGGTGGTCGAGGGACAAATCTTATCGACCTGTAGCGTGGAAAGGTGTGCGTGTGTGTGTCTGTCCTGTCGGACCACTTTCGGAAAAGCAAACAGCGGCGCCGGGCAGCCTGGCCAGGAGGAAAGGGTCGTGACTCTCTTCACGACTAGAGAGAGAGAGAGAGAAATAAAACACGTAGCGCGATCTATACGCCGGAAGGGAGGGAGTAAGACGGATCAAGGGGCCGGATGTGCGACGAAGAAGTAAGGAAGCACCTTTCAGTTCCCACGAGATTTTGCGGCTCGTGGTCGAGCCCGAGGGAGCCGATGGAAGCGAATCAATTTTACGGGCGGCCGGCCATCGATACCATGCCGATTGGCATCGATCCGATAGAGGGAAGGAAAGAGAGAGAGAGAGAGAGGAGATCGAGGCGTTCCTTTCATTCTTGCAGAGGGACGCGACGTGACGCGAAATTACCCGCCGTTGCAATCCGGACGTTCCGGCGCTTCCGCTCTCTCGTCTTCGAGCGGGAAGCGGCTTAGAAGTCCTTGCCTCTTCCAATTTGCAGGAACCGGCTAGCAGCCGTCTTGTAGATCGACGACGAAACAAGACTGCGTTATTTCCATCGAGCATGACGACCCGCCAAGCTTATTCCTTCTGGAAGCTCGCGCAGTTCCCCAAGATATATGTACTACATGTATGACAGAGTCGATTTTCTTAAAATGAAGAAACATGCTGGGACAGCTTTCGTTTCAAGCAATCAGTGCGACTGAAGACTGTCGCGTTATCGTTTTTATATTTAAGAGGCTTCGCAAACACACAATATCAAGTTCTTTTTTTCGAGAGAGAGAGAGAGAGACAGCTGTCGTTTATTGTAAGCTTGATACTACTCTCGTAGAGAAGTTTGACGAAAAACGAATGTGTAGAAGTGTACGAAAGACGGCATAAATTTACCGGTTTCAATTTTTGTTCTTCAAGACCGACTCAGACAAATCATCTCTCTTCCTAGCGATTTCCATTCGAGAGTCTTCGTGATTCGATCGTTTACAAGTCGTTGCGCGGTATAACGGTATTGTCAAATCTTACGATAATAATAGCTTGAATATACGATTTATGAATCATAACTGTTCGGCATAATGATTATACCACAATTAATTCGATAAGAAGCGAGAACGTCGAAGACTAGGTGGAATCGTGCATTCATGCAGCAACGAGATGAAAAAGGACGATAAGAAAGTAACAAGCGTAGAAACTACGCGCATTTATTATCCTTATGCTAATGCGCCGAGGAAGATATTTGCACGTCGTAGAATTAAAGGCAATCATTCTTTAAATTCCAACATACATCCGAGAGGTTCGTGAACTTAATCCACTACATCTGCGAAATAAATTTTCGCGCGAGTCAAATAATAACCAGCTTTAAACAATGTTATATATATACGTATCGCATTCTTCATAGATATTCAATTAAAAATTAATGACACCATGTGCGCAAGATCAATATAAATCTCCATTATTACGCGGTGTAAATCAAACAACGCGATATTATATTTACTCCGCGGAATGTTTAATTGCGAGAAACTATACAAATACAAAACGGATATCGTTTACCGAACGAGACTCGGAGCGAACAGTTAAGATGATTTATGGCGATGTTAAAGTCGAAGGTGGTGCAACGTGCGGTAGTCGCGTGATTCGCTTTCGCCCGAGCAATAGGCGTCTTATAAGAGAAGATAATTATCTCGGGGTCCTTCGTGCCGCCGTGAAACGTTATTAAATCAGGCAATCAGTTTTTTCAGAGCCCTCGTCGGCAAAAGGAGGCGAATAAGCGCGAGAAATACGCGACGGAGAGAGAGAGAGCCAGTCCGATTCGCAGCCAGCCTGTGAGGCGCCGTTTCAACGAGCGACTAACGACAGCCACTTTACGACACCCACGCTCGAACGGTTATTAATTACGCGGCGCCGGGTTTCGTGTTCGCCTCCATGCGCCCTCGACTCTCTCTCTCTCTCTCCTATTTTCTCGCGCGAGCTTTGAAGTCGCGCGCCTCGATCGATCCCGCGACAATATCTCGCACTGTTCGCGCGTTCTTTTTTTTCCCCTTAGGTTTGTATCCTAATAGTTCTCGATGTGTGTCTCAAAGAACGACGCTCCTTATCGTTCGTTCGTATATCAATCATCTATGATTCGAGACACGAGGTTCTTCGAAATCCGCCTTGTTCGTTTAAATAAAATTCTACGACGCGCGTTGAGAAATTCAAAAACCCATTTAGCGATTAAAAATATTAGAAGCATGAGCATGAATTAATTTGTAATTTTATTCAATATTGAAATAACAAAATATAAAAACATTAAGGGAGAATAAATAATCGTAAGAAGACTCGCAATAATTGTGACATATGACGCGATTTAAACGACGTCGCGGGCTAAAATCGCCGAGGAAGTGCGAAACGTCATTACTCGTGAAACGTGAATACAGTGTTCCTGTCTCTAGGTATATGTATATACTCTCTTTGAACGCGGTAACGCTTTGCGGCCTCTGTCATTCGTCTGATGTTCTTCTTTTTTTTATACATGTCGTAACAGCTCTCCTCTCTCTCTCTGCCGCCTTTGACGCTCTTTGTCGCGTGCCACCGGGAGAAGTTTCGAGGTAGTCCTCCTTGAAACTTTCTCATTCGTCAAATTAGAATTCGCCTTTTCGCGATGCGTCGGCTGACTCCCCGGGGGTTCCTCGACAACGCCTAGCATCCCCTTCGTCGAGACAATGGATCAAAGGATCACGACTGTACCCATCGGCTGTACTTTATTTCCCCTGGACCCTGGATACCGTACACTTGCTACAGGCGCGCGAGACGAGACAATCTGATGGAAGAGATGGCAGATCGAATGACGACGATGTTGACGCGACGCGGGAGAGAAAGCGAGGAAACGAGATATTGCGTGAAAACCGCGTTTCTCCGACTTCCATTCGTTCGTATATTTTTTCCTCTCGTTTCTTCTTGTTTTTTTTCCCGCGAGAAAATTAGAATGTCGGAGGAAACCTGTTGCAGAGCGGGAACGAGATGGCATTCGCGGGAGAGAAGTAACATTGGAGGAAGAAGAAAAAAACTCTCGGAGCTTTCTATCTCTATTCGTTCTGCCGTATTGTACGTGGAACGAGACGGTGCAGCTAACGCGAGCCAATATCCCGAATAAATCCATCTTAAATCAATCTTAATAAAAATAAAACGAGAGTGAGAGAGAGAGATAGAGAAAACGAGAGCGTGAAGCAAGACCAACCAACGAGTTCTCCTTCCTGGCGCTTCATCGACAGCCAATAAAGCCGCCTGGAAAAACACTGGCTGATAGAAGTTTAATCAAAGTCTTCCACTTCGTCATCCAGCGTTATATAACTCACCCCGGCCTCTGCCTAGAATAAGCAAGCTGGCATCGCAACCGTTCCGATTGGCTCGTTTTCACGACTTCGAGTTACGACATCGCGACCGGGAAATGTTCGTCTCGAGGCCGAGAGAAATCAATTTTGAAATCCGTCATAGAAGTTATACCTCGGCGCGGCGGAAAATACCCGGTATCAAACGTCGATAGATAGCGCCGATATAGGGTTGCGAAGCGAGGGTTGGGTGGGGGATGAATGAGAAAGGAAGAAAGAACGGGAAAGGTACGAGTGACTGGTCGGACTTATATAAGGCGACTCAATTAGGATTAGTCCGCCGGAGTCGGAGTCTTTCGGTCTTTGCGCGCGCTGATCTTCGAGACTCATCTCATCGGCTTAGGATTTCGGATTTACCTAAGGATCTTATTGGCATCGAGGCCGAACGATCGATACGCCCACCATTTACGAAGGAGCCCCGCGCTCACGAAGTCACGAAATCGTGATCCTCCCGTCGACAATGAGACGTACGACGGCCACCGTGGACGGTACCTATATAGGAACTCTGGGAACCGGTAGAGAGAGAGAAGGACTCTCTCTCTCACGTAATAAAAGCACCATTTCAATTGATTATCGAGCAATGCAGACTCCGCCGGTTAATTGAACGAATTTCAATGCCGGAGGTACGTTTACTTTTCTAATTGAAGATTCTGATCGGCGTTCGCGCTAAAGGTTCGAGTTACAGGGAACGTCCATCATCGCGGGTTATCGTAAAAATTGATTTCTGCGTAATCAAACTTCGCGAGAGCACCTCGGATATTTTTATCAGAGGATAAGTGCGCGCTCGAGAGATAAGGTCTTTATCGTGTCACGCGTATATATCGCCGTTGGTCTATTTGTGAAACGTACGGTGTATCGGACTCTTGCTTTTTGTCTCTCGATTCCACGTGCATCGCCGGGTCAATCTTGTCTCTCTCTCTCTCTGTTTCTCTTTCTACCTGTTACTTGTATTCGTTCTCTTTCTCCCTCACGCTCTCTTTCTCTCTCCCTGTCCCTTCCACCGGAGAATAATAAGTTTCCGGCGATGTGATCCGTGAAAATCGAATACGCTTGCACCGGTTGCAGCGACAGCTCGGTCGACAAGGCAACTCCGCGTCCGGTCGACTCGGTTATGGAAATCCCTTCGGCGCTGGCTCATCACTACCCGCCGTTCCTCCATGATGTTTCCCAGCGAGTTCACTTCTCGCCCCGATCTCTGTTCAAAGCCGATAGCGAAATCTCGTTATTTCATACCTTGCCCGCGATAACGAGAAAAATTGCGTCTGGTTATATGCGACACGATTCGACTCTCGCGCGCCGCGAGAAAATTCGCCCGGCAATATTTCAAGCGCTTTATTACCAGCGTGACGTTATTAAAGCAATGATATGTCCGCGGAAGTATTATAAATACCACAAGAGAGGTCCCTCTCTGGCGATTCTCGTTAGCGATTTGCAAATTTGACGAAGAAGTAAATGAGGAAGCAAAGATGTGTACTTATTTTAAAATATATGTTCTTATGTCATCCGGTTGATGTTGATTCTTACTTTTCAGTTTTTAAGTTCCCTCTCTCATCTCTCTCTCTCTCTCTAAAGATGTTATCAATTCAATATGTTTTATCATTCTTTCTCATTTAACTCAAATGCTACATTAAGTTTACACAATTTTGATTATATCTGTCTCATCAAAATGCTGAATTTCATTACGTTTATTTACTGTAAGAAATGTGAACAGTTGTTCGCCAAGGTCAAACATAGATATAAATCCCATATATCAGAAGGGAGCAAAGGCTGTTGTCTTCACTCCTAATTTTATCATTCGACACGTCTCGCATTAATTATCCAATATGCTGTCATTAACTGTTTTTTTGTTGATTGGAATTTTTACGCAACGTAAGTAAAGCTACATTGTATTCAACAAAATATGATATTTTTGTTATTTTTGCTTTTGATATACATTTTAATATGTTGTTTTATAAGAGTCATAAATAGGATGTTGAAAAAAATGGTTTAAATATTTTAAGTTGAAACTGAGAAGTCTTAATAAATATTAAATCCGCAAATAAATCATTTTTGAGATATTTTTATTTTTATGTATTTTGTTTTATTTTAATAATATTTTTTGTTTTAAATCTTTATTTTTATTATTTTTTATTTCTTTTATTTTTATTATTTTATTCATGTAAATACAGGTAAATTAAATTAAATTATAGGTAAGTTAAGTTATATATAAGATATTGCAAATATTCCAAAAATGGCTCATTTGTGGCCTTATGTTTATTAAGACTTTTTAACTTATTTTGAGACATACTAAATTCTCGTAAAAGATTTTATCTTTTTCTAAATACTCTGTATAATTATGATGTACACTGATTGTAGAGACGTTCGCTGACGAACCTTCGGTGGCGATCTTCGGTGGTACGCCTGCCGCACCAGGTGAATTCCCATGGCAATGCTCTTTGAATTATTACGGTGAACACAGATGCGGTTGTTCTATCATTGGTTCCACCAAGATATTGACGACTGCCAGCTGCGTGTTCAACTTAAAGCTACCCAATAACGATTTCTTTGTTCGCACCGGGACCATCGACTCCATTAGAGGGGACGTCTACTTTGCGCAAAACATCACAATACATCCAAATTTTACCGGCAAAGTATCTGGTATGCAGGATGACATCGCTGTGATCACTGTAAGTCGATATATTAAAGAATTCAATACTTTGGTTCAACAGATTTTTCTCTCACTTTGTTTCTTCTATCTCAATCATTTTTTACCAATTTTCTTCGTTTCAGCTTGCATCGCCAATTCAATACAATAAATATCAATCTCCCATCCCTTTGGGCTTTTCTTTGCCAGCTACTGGTACGCCAACTACCTTCTCCGGATGGGGTTGGAAGGGGTATGAGGATCCAATATACCCACAGACTCTTCTAAAAATGACCCAGTCTACAATCTCGCTGTCCGAATGCCAGCAGACCTATGCTAGCAAACCTTTGACTAGCGCCCATTTGTGTGCCTACAATCGTCGCGGAATTGGTACTTGCATAGTGAGTAACATCCATCATTGAATACACATCGGTTAAAAATGATCTGCTCTACTCTGATAGATTAATCTAGCTTGTACAATTCAACTGCTAAAAGAATACAAGATAAAATGAAATAAAAAATGTTTCTGTATATTTTTCAGGGTGACCATGGCGGTCCTCTGATCGCTAATGGCAGGCAAGTTGGTATTGCTACCTCGTTTACATATTGCGGCGCTGATGGTAAACCTGATGTCTACATTAGTGTTCCCCATTATTTCCAGTCATTTATTGTAAAAAATTTAATCTAAAATAAGGCTATCCGATTTATCATATTATGTGTACCCAAAAAATATATTGTTGATTGTTTCATTGTATATAATTCTCTTGCAATGTGGAGAGACATGCAATTATGTCAATTGCATTTTGAAAATAGAGAAAATTCTTATGTACTCCTATTAATAACAAATAAACTATAATTCATTTTATTAGAGCATTTTTTTTCTTTAATAAGTATATGAAATGTGATTCCTATTGAAAAAACGTAATATAATTCAATTCTTCTTAATTAAATATAATTTCTTACGAAATAAATAAAGAAAATAAATTTTTGTTTTATAAAATATATTTTAACTTACTCTTTTTATGATGTAGAAAAATCCATTCAATTATTTTATCTAAATTAATTACTTTTTCTTTTATAAATGCCATTAGTTACTCTATTAATATTCATGTTTTTACGAATTATGATATAGACTTTTGCCGCACTTCCTCTTTTTCTATAGTTGAATATTTTTGTATATTCACTGCTCAGTCGCGCATGATTTTTTCTTTAATTTATAAATATGTATATGTTATTATTAAAATATTTTCACACACACACACACACGACACCCTGTGATACATATATTTTTAATAAGAAAATAATTTTTTGAAAACATCTTAGAGAGAGAGGGGAGAGAGAGAGAGTTACAGCCACGTCATTTCATAAAGTTCGCAAAGACTGTAAACTTTTCCCATAAATTTGCGTCTTCTCTCTTCCACTTCCAGACTTGGTACATCGATCATCATAGTAATTTCTCCATTGCTTCTGCATCTTTTACGCTGACGATTGCCAAATTCCTTCCGACCGACGTAAGTTTCTAACGAAGCTACCTAATTATAGGCAAATTCCGAAGAATCTACCTAATTAAGGATCAAATAATCGTTTTCAGAATGTTGTTGCAAAAGTCCTTACATTGCTTAACTTAAAGCGTAGCGCAGAATTTCTGCCAATGACATTAGACAAAATGTTTAAATGATCATAAGATATTTAAGACATATATTGTGACATTAAATTACATGTATTATATTATATATAGCTGATTGACCTTTTACAATTTCATTTCAATCTGTCAAAGCGACTTTGTTTTTTCTTCGCAACCCAATTGACGACATAATAAATATTTAAAAACCCCATTAAGTCACTCTTCTGTATGGGAAGAAAGGGGAGGAAGAAACCCAGTTTCTCCGATTAAACATGAGAAGTTTACGTTACAAGAAGGCCGGAACTTCTTGCGAAGGGTGACTAAGTTCAGCGGTTCAAGGAGGAGCGAAGGATCGGAGGTGCCGAAGGGCACGATATCGCAAGAGGGGTACCGACTTGTCTAAACCGCCTCATTGTTTGCCCGAAACTCGATTACGGGTTAATAACGTTAGCGTGACCCCTCGTTTCGTCTCTCGTATATACATTCCGGCGGTTTTGAGGAAGACCGCATTGCTCGCCGCATCGCGGCGCATAAAGGAGTTTCGATCGGAGAACGATCCAATTACCGCGACTAGCTGCTTCTAGCTGCTCGTTAAGAAGAGTAAAGAAGAGAGTCTCGGGCTTAAGGCGAGCTCGTAAGACTTCCCTCGCATCTCATCGGGAACGTCTCGTCCGCGATATTCGCGACTCGAGTTACTTCCAAGATTGCACGCGGGAGAACCAGACTGCGAATATCGGTGGTTCACGTGGGTCTTCCTTCGGCTGCGTTCGTACGTTCTTCCTGGGGGAATTGCGAGCTGTCGGCTAAGATTTCTTTAAGCCCGCAAACCGCGCGATTCGCCTTTTCGGGGACGCAACCACGTGGTAACACACCGCACGAAATCGGATTATATCGGATGCCATATCCCTCACGTCGTTAATAATATATCGATATTGCGGCGGAAAATCCGGTGGCAAAGTTGCTAGCGATACTAGAAAGTTAAGAAGAGAGGGATGAGAGATCGTCGAAAAGTTAAAAGAGAAAGCCATTAAAGATATTATTTGGTTTAAAGAAAAAGGAATAATGCGTCCTAGAATTAAGGCAGACGAAATAAATGCCTAATATTCGATTTTAATTAAAAATAATTTATTAGCGACGAATATGTCACCTAAACCAGTTATGCCATTAAATCCAATTGAATCACTTAAGGGTATTACGCTCTCGAAAGACGCGTTACTCTGGCAAAATTAATACGATGACAGTCGTATATAGAAACGAATCAATACGCGATCGAAAGGAAGAACGAGCAGTCATATACGTACAGCTGACGTCGGGATTTAATTAACGTAGGAGAAATCGGCGCGCATAAAATCCGAAGAGAATCAGCCGAGTGCGTTTATTCCGGCTCGGCGACGTCGTCGTCGAGGAAAGAAGAGACCCGGCCAAGTCGACCTTGGTTCGCGAAAAATTACGAGACGGATTGTAAAGAGGATTTAACGATTCTCGTCGGTGGACCCGGGCACGCCCTTCCGCCGCCGAAAACAAACGAAAGCTTGCATTCGATAATTTGTGGCTCGCGAGCCACCGGCGGCGTGGAACCGGCCTCGCTGTAATTACCAAGGTAAATAATGCTTTCCGGGCGTCCAATGGCGTAACACCGTTCGCGAATAAATTCGACTCTATATACGTGCCCGGGATGTGGAATGTCGCTCTTCTCCCTCTCCCGCGTCCGCTGAACGAGAAAACGAAGAGATCGTTACGATAATCACGGATTCGTTTTTTGCTACGGAGATTTGTTCCGCCGGGGGATTACATTTCCGGTCGCGTTCCCTTATTAGCTTATTAGCTGCAGTAAAGTATCGACTAATGTATTTTGTACCGGCATCGCATGCGAGGATAATTTTTTTTTTTTTTTTTAATTACATTGTAACGCGTCACCGCGATAGCTTCGACTATCCATCAGATTTTATCTGACTCGTTTCGATCTGCCACGAATTGTTGAAATCGTTCGCATGAGATAAAGAGCCATGCGTGATCGTATTTGAAGTAAATAGGATTTTTTATTTCTGTTAATCAGTTCGGCAAATATTTTTTTTAAGTATAGTATTAAAAATGCGAGGGCAATTTTGTATCAGACTCGCTTCGATCTACCACGAGTTCTTGAAATCGGTCGTACGAGATAAAGAGCTGTATGCGTAATCGTGTCTTAAATAAATAGAATTTTTTATTTCTGTTAATCAGTTTGGCAAATACTTTTTCTAAGTATAGTATTAAAAATGCGAGGTCAATTTTGTATCAGACTCGCTTCGATCTACCACGAGTTCTTGAAATCGGTCATACGAGATAAAAAGCTATATGCGAAATCGTGTTTTAAATAAATAGAATTTTTTATCTCTGTTAATCAGTTGAGCAAATATGTTTTATAAATATGGTATTAAAAAGTTGTAGCGCTCTTTTAACAAACTGTACATGTTAACAAATACTATATAGTTTCTATATTATATATATCCCATATATAAAATTTTGTACTACAGTTTAGATTCTAGCTTAAATGAAGTCTTACCCTAAAAGATGGGATAAAAAAACGACATCTTATTCTTAGAATTGTCAGTAAGTACAAAAGCTCGCAATTCTTAGAAGAAATATACAGGGTGTCCGGTAACTAACGGACCAATGATTAAGGGCGGATTCTCTGGCCAATTTGGAGACGATTTTTCCTTAGCAAAAATGTTGAGAATCAATAATTTTCGAGTTATAAGCGATTGAAAAAAATGGGTTTTTTTCATTCTTCATTCTTCAGTTAATTTCAGGTAGAGTTTACTATAATAAAATTTTAATTCGAGGCTTAGTTATAAAGATACATAATGACAAATATTGGAAAATTGTAAAAAATGATGACCTTTTTCGACATTTTCGCTGAGGAAAAATCGTTCCCAAATTGACCAAAGAATCCATTTGTAATCGTTGATCCGTTACCGGACACCCTGTATACACACCTATGCTCTTGATTCACTCCGGTCGTGCAGCCTCTTCCGCGAATCCATAATTACGATTACCAGGCCGCAGTGAAGAGACGGCGAGGGAGTCGAGATTGCATTTATTATCCGCCGCGAAACGGCTCTTCTCGCGCCGAAATTATCTTGGCAGCCGTCCAGTGCGACGAAACGTTCGGCGAAATGAGAATATAATCGAGTCCACTTGAAATAAAGAAGAAGTCGAGTAAACTGGGCGCGCAACAAGAGGCGAAGAAGCAGTCGCTGCAGGCGACGACGAATCCTCCCCATCCATGATTTTCAAAGGAGGAGAAGACGCAAAATTTTCCCCTCTTCTTTCGCTTATTTTTGCGCTCTCCTTCCGGATCTTCTCATCTGCTGAAAACGTCTTTCTTCGCCAAGTTCCGCAGCCTCGATCGCCGGAAACCATATACCTAGGGAACGACGGTGGTAGACGTGTTTTTCGTTCTTTGATCATCCGCGACTCAACTGAATTAGAGATGAAGCGACGGCTGTTTCGCGTACACGCTCGTTCGAATTGTTAGTCGTCTCGTTACATTCCGGAGCGAAGGAGCTCGATCTACACAATTGCTTCCTTTTCCGCGTCTCAAAGACCCGATCGCGTTTCCCGACAGAGTTTGATTGAGCATTAGTTATACATTGCCTGATACTTGTCTGCTGCATTTTGCTCTTTGAGATTAGATGGAAATGTTTTGTGTGTCAAATTTTTGTTACTTGAAAATTATTTAAAATCATTTACTATTTTTCATATTTTTGTGTTAAGTGCCACATCTGTCGAATTACCAGTCTAGATTGAAAATGGAATAATTGATACATAATTTTGACAAATTACGTAACAAGTAATTATAAAAATATATTTATTTCAAGATGATTGAACTTGTTTATACGGATCTTGATTAAGATTCTGCGTTTATAAGTCAATGTTCAGGAAAATAAAGGCGTTTGATCGCGACATGTATCACGTTCTCATTATCGGGGAACAGCGTCGATTTCGGCAGGGAAAACCGCCAATTTGCGCCGAGAGTCGAGATCCCTAGAGGCACCGCTATTAAAAGTCTTTCGGAGGCAATTGAGCTGAACGAGAGAGGAGGATTTGGCTTAATCACAGCCTTATGCGACATATAAAATAATCCGATATTACGTCGAGTGCAACAATTCCAAGTAGCATATTTTTTTCAATATAAAACGTGGAGTATATATTTGTTCATTT